GCTCTCTCTCTCTCTCTCTCTCTCTCTCTCTCTCTCTCTCTCTCTCTCTTTCTCACGTCTTCCCTCCTCTCATTCCCCGTCCTCTTCTGCGAGCTGTAAGAGGAAGTATTATGTAATGCTCTCAAAGTAATGGTTGAAGCAGAGGCAGGGGCGAGTATGTTCGAGTGAGTATATTAATTGTTGCAGTGTGTGCGTACGTGTTTGCGCGCGTGCGTGTGCAAAATTATATCATGTATCAGTGGTGTCATCTCCTACTCTCAACCGCACAGAGAGGGCAAGTCTACCTTCTTTTTTTTATGTTTGCTGCTTTCAGAGAAAAGGGATATTGTCCTATAGCTCATTTATGTTTTGGAAATCCATCGTCATTATATAACCCTTAGACGTTGGTAGGTCTACCTGACTAGACGCCGCTTTCTTTTATTTTCTTGTTATTCTCATTTATCATAAAGTTGGCTGTACCAGCTTGCCTTCACTTTTACCTCAGCTAGGGCCTACCAATAGACTACTTTCACAACATCAAATCTTCATTCTTCTCTGAATATTTTAGTTGATACTTCAAGGCTGTAGCTCAAAACTTTTTTTTTGTGTGTGTGAAAATGTTAACGTAGGCCTATGTATTTTTTCCAATTGAACTTACAGCCACAAAACGGAGAAATGAAGGAGTTGAGGGAATCCCCTGCATTCTCTTTTTCAGCGACAGCGCTGTGCCAGGCAATGACTGGGAGTTGTCTGAGGGCTGTGAAGGTGAAGGACGCGTACATTTTTCCGATCCTTGGATTGGCTGAATAATCAGAAAAATTTAGGTCAGTCTCGGGTATATAAAGCGTGGATCACTGTGTTTCTGCCTCTCAGATCATAGCTGGCTAGGGCTGAACACCTGCAGACTAAAGAAAACTTACCATCATGTCGAAACCAGCTTACAAAGTCGGTATGTTCCGTTCCCAGCATTTTTTTCAAAGTTCAGATATTCAACATAAAAAAATCCCATGAAGATATAATAGTCTAGATTTCTAGATGTAGATTCTAGATATTAGATTTGTTAATGTGCCTGGTGCGGTGGGCACCGGCAGCCGACAGAATCACGTGTGTAGGCCTATAATCTAGAAGCAGAGGCCGGTCCAGTGTCAAGATAGGCCTAGTGATGTGATTGTTTTACGTGGACTGATGGACATAGATGTAGAATCTAATATCTAGATCTAGATCTATATCTAGTGAATAAATGCAATGTTAAATATATTTTTTCGATGTGATTACCCTGTTTTCTTCTAGTTTGTGGGAGAAATGAGTTAAAACACGAAATGAATTCCCATGAGATGTCGCTTCTTTTCGGTCTTTGTCTTCTGCTAGTGTTGACCCAACCCCTCCTCTCACTCTTAATTTAAACAGTAGATGCAAGAGAAGGGGGTTCCGAAGGAGCACTAGATCTCTAGATCTTGTTCTGGTGGCCCTTAGATACATCTACTCTTGCCCCTTGCTCTTGTAGATCTAAACGGAGTATCTTGTGGACACAAAAATCGAGAGTTTAAGCATAGGCTGTGTATATTTCGTGGAAGTTCTTGTAGGAGTTTGATGACGTGTGATTCTTCCTTCTTAGTGGACTTACCGTACACAAATGGACAAATTTCTGTGTCACTAGATCTAGATCTAGATCTAGATATATAGATCTAGATTCTAGATCTAGATCTAGAATCTAGTTCCAGTGTGAGCTTTACTTTCTTCTTGGTCTACCCATTTTACAGACAGGCAGGGGCGTTAGTTTCATACGTGTTTATGCTGTCTAGAGAAATTTTCAGAAATGCCAGGCCTGTAGAAGTCTAGTGTAACCCGGTTCACCCAGCTTTTGGTCTTGAACAGTGCAAATATAGATCTAGAATCTAGATCAAGTATCATGTAGGCTTCTAAGGCCTATATAGTGTTATAAAATATAATACACTGGCTTGAGGAGGTGGAGCAAGGAGATCGAGGGCTTTTCCAACCTGCACCATACATTGATTAGGCTATTACTTGAATTTACTTACATGCCTTTTATATAATGTAGAGGTAGGCTATATATTTGAGTATTCTGAATTTGTTGACAAACGATGATTATTCATTGCAGCAAGATGGTGACTCTCTTGTTTTCCTGTTTATAGGTGGCTTAGATGTACCTGTGGTGTTCATGGTCAATCGTGTCCAATACAATCTGTTGCATCATTTAGGACTACTTATACTCACTCAAGATCTAAACCTGTCAGTTGTCAAGATATTGTTATCGAGGAAAACAGGTCCTCAGCGTGGTTCGCTTAAGACATTATGATTTTTTTCCTCCATCAGCTGACATCGGGCTTGCCGAGTGGGGCCGCAAAGCCATTGAAATTGCTGAGAATGAGATGCCCGGTCTGATGATGATGAGGAAGATGTACGGCCAGAGCAAACCTCTGCAGGGTGCCCGTATCGCTGGCTGCCTTCACATGACTGTCCAGACTGCTGTGCTCATCGAGACCCTCGAAGCTTTGGGTGCCAAGGTTTGTAGAAACATTGAAAGCATTTTCTCGGAAATATGAAGGCTTTGCTGCTCTCTGTAGCCTATGTTTTCTTATCTTTTCTTTCCATACCTCATTTCTGCTTTAACTGAACATCACGAAATAGAAATGGAAATGAATAATCTTGGACTAAATAAAAAAACACTCTCTTCTTTGCTGCTTACTTTAAAGTGAACAGAAATGAATAGGCGTCTTTAAAATTTTGTTCCTTTTTGTCGTCTTACCTTTCTCAGAAAAACGAACTCTGAGCTGGACCGTTTGGTACTCTTTATGAGAAGTGGTCCCGGCCTATCTCCATAGACATTTATACACAAAATCGGAAACAAAAATGGAAGTGGAGTAAAAAAAAAACTACTGAGTTGCCTGCCAAACCTATTTGAGACTAGATCTATTTTCGGCACTATTCTGAATTCTAACGGGGGTTTTTTTGTGTGCTGAAAACAATTTTGGCACCAAAAACTGCCACAAACCATCATTTTGTGAATTTAGCAGGGGGGAGACCCCCTTGCGACCTCCTCTTTTTTTCAAAGGCAACTTCCGGTTTTGTTTCCGATTGTGTACATAATGTATAAATGGAAATGTCTATGGAGTTAGGCCGGGACCACTTCTCCCGAAGAGTCCCGACTGTTTTAAAGCAAATTTGTTTTTGTCTCTGTTTTGGGGGAGAGGGGAAGGTGTAATGTTTGTTTTTTTCCTGCATTGCTGAGCCTCCTTACTCCCTTCAGACTGTTCTGTTCTTCATCCAGCAGTATAATTGAATGAATGTCTGTATGATGTTTCCAGGTCCAGTGGTCCAGCTGCAACATCTTCTCCACACAAGACAACGCTGCCGCAGCCATCGCCAAGGTTGGAATCCCAGTCTACGCCTGGAAGGGAGAGACCGATGAGGAGTACGTTTGGTGCATCGATCAGGTTAGTGGATTCACATTATAAAGATTCTCGTAAGGACTGTTGGTTTAGTAAGTATTGTTGAAAGAAGAATGTGCAAGTGTTCTTGTATAAGATAATTTAAACGTTTTCTGTGTAGGTTGTTCATGGTTTACGTAGAGATTTGCATAATGCTATTTGCACTTGTTGTTTCGAAACATTGAACAAACATTTTTTTCTGCCTAGTGGAGCCTGGATGCTTAGTGATTGTCAAAGAAAAAGGTTAACTTAGAGAGGTCCATCTGCATGAGAAAGGGGAAATTGTTTTGAGCGTGGTTTTGCAAATATAAGATGCCTTTGTTCAGAGGATCTGAAGTTCTCAAAGTTGACCAGTTGGTACAGGAGAATTGTACAGAAAACACAGGTATATGGGAGTTTTCCTTGGTCTGACAAATGGCTTCAGTAAAACTGAGGGTTGGTGAAGATTGTACGGAGTCTAGTGTTGGCATGATGACTTTTATTTGTCTAGTATGAATGTTCATAATTTGGACATTTTAAAAGTGCTTTATTATTTTGTACAGACTATCTACTTCCCTGATGGTCAACCCCTGAACATGATCTTGGATGATGGTGGAGATTTGACCAACCTTGTCCACGAGAAGTACCCACAACTGCTTGCAGGTACAGACATCTTGTAGAATTATCATTTGTGGGTAGCTTACCTAAGTGCTAGCCAATATCTTGTAATTTGATATCTTCTGTGACTGATTGATTTTTGAGTGAAGAAATATAAAGACTTTTTAAGTATTATTATTGTTATTGTCATATTCTATATGAAATGAAGATTTTCTGTGGTTTTTGATTTAATCATTTGCGCTCTACTGTGTGTTGTTTGACTGGGTCAGACACTGTGAGCGATGACCTCAAAAATAAGGTTTTGCTTGTGTTTTTTTCTTAAGTGAAGATTTCTTTTGTTTCCAAAATGCATACCTTGACAGTTCAGACCTCAATGTCAGAGTTTAATTCCCCTCTGAAATGTTTGTTCTTTCAGGAATCAAGGGATGCTCCGAGGAAACCACAACTGGTGTTCACAACTTGTACAAAATGTTTGCCGCTGGCACACTCAAAATCCCAGCTATCAACGTCAACGATTCCGTCACCAAGGTACTGGTCTTGTAATCACTTTTGTGAAGAAGGAGATACAACTTTTTATTCAAGTTTTTTCCTTGTAATTGAGATCATTTTAAGATTGTTCATTTTACATTGTTCCTTTTGTAAAATAATTCGGGTATGAATATTGTTTAGTGATATTGACTGTCAGTTTTTATTTTAATTTGAAATTGTTGACTTAGGAAGACAATCTTAATTGTTGTTAGAATGTGGCATATATCTCTTGAAATTTTTGTTGTTGAAAGTTTGACATTATTTATGAGAGTACTGGGTTGTTTGTGAGTTAATGCACAGTTTGCAGTTGTGTGTGTTAAATGTTTCCAAGCTCTTTTGACTCATCGTTGGTCTCATATCTTGGCCTAATCTTTCTTACCTCTAGGATGGTTAGAGGGGACTACTGATATGTCCTGCTTCATTTCTTTCGATATGTTGTTTCTGTTGTGTCAGTCTGTCCCACTCTTTCCACGTACAAAAAAATGGCTATTGTGTCGACATGCTTCTTCTCTTCACTCAACAACAATTGCTGTCGTCCCTCAGAGCAAGTTCGACAACTTGTACGGCTGCCGTGAGTCCCTGGTCGACGGCATCAAGAGAGCCACTGATGTGATGTTGGCTGGCAAAGTGGCCGTCGTCGCTGGCTACGGTGATGTGGGCAAAGGCTGCGCTCAGGCCCTTAGAGCTTTCGGAGCTCGTGTCATCGTCACAGAGATCGATCCCATCAACGCCCTTCAGGCTGCCATGGAGGGCTATGAGGTCAGTGCTTGCTCCAATCTTTTCATTACCCTTTGATGGTGTTTTTGCTCGAGAGTGTTATTGTCCTTTTATGAATGGTAATGTAAAACATATACTCAAACAAACAAATGAACTTTAACTGTCTTTGAAGATTAAAAAAAAACCCAAATAATTTCTTTAGATTTTGCTTCAACATGTCACTTAGATGTTAAATGTAAGCTCACTGTATCGTTACTGTGGTCATGAAATGCTAAGTGTTGTTCTTTAAAATTAGAATTACTGACTTACGGTACTTACTTATAAATCCCTAAGTCTAGATGACCATGGTGGCAACAAAGGTGATTGGGCTACCACTTTTCTACATTCTTCTTAGAATTGCTTTCTTCTTTTAACATCCTTCTTCTAGTCTTTCCCTTTGTTGTTCTTATCTTTCTTTTTTGTCCTGCAGGTAATAATTGCTATGTCAGTGTGCTGATTTTCACTCAACCAAATAGCCATTGTTCTCAAGCAACGTAGTTTGTCCTTTGATCACAGGTTGCCACCCTTGAGAATACACTGAACGAGGCCCGTATCTACGTGACAACCACCGGCTGCAAAGGTATCCTGAGACCAGAGCACTTCTCCAACATGTTGGAAGACACAATTGTCTGCAACATCGGACATTTTGACTGTGAGATTGATGTGGCTTGGCTAAACGCCAACTGCGTGAAGAAAGAGGAAATCAAACCCCAGGTAAATGTTGATGCAGCACGGCAGATATTTCTGTACCAGGTTGTTGGTTTGACTGGGGAGAAAGCCATTTCCTAGCACATCAAGTCACTTACTTCATTTAAAATTTGGTACTTTTTGCTATAAGAAAATTCATCTCTTATTTACAAGATTTGGAAAGGGTAGAGAAAGCAGGATTTCTTCACTTTCAGGCTTCTTTGCTTTGTTGCATAGATACTTGTGCACTTAATCATACTTAATGACTGTAATATTTTCACATACTGTACTGTTAGTACAACCACGATATGTAGTAGAATTTGGAGGACTGCTTTTTATTTTTAGTTTGGTGGGGTTACAGATTTTATGACAGCTTTTCACTTGTGCCTGAAGTAGCAAGACTAATGGGATTTAGGAGACTATTGCATCTAAATCTAAAAAGAATGCTTGGGTCTAGGAGAAAATATTGATTTATTGATTGATTATACTAGCACCATCTTATATGCTTTGTCTGCAATGTTCATTGGCTGATGCTACTCTCTACTTCTGGGTAAATTCTGCATGGGAAAAAAATTCTATGTATTTTTATACATGTAAAGGTTTGATTCTTCTTTATTCCTGGGTTTTTTAACAAAAATATTTATGAATTAGGTGCACAATTTCCTCCCCAGTTAAAGTTATGTGAGCCTTGTACCTTCCTGTCATTGTGACATGGTTGAATAAGTGCTTGTGTCAATGATGGATTGTTTACATGTTCTGATTTTGGAAGTTACACAGATATGTATTATTTTTTCCTGCATATTTACTAGGCCTTCCTGGTGCATTAGTAAAATATGTATCTTGTACTTGTTCTCAGGTCGACCGTTACACAATGAAAAATGGCCGCCACCTGATCCTCCTGGCTGAGGGCCGTCTGGTCAACTTGGGCTGCGCTCATGGTCACCCCAGCTTCGTGATGAGCAATTCCTTCACCAACCAAGTCCTTGCACAGATTGAACTCTGGACCAAGACTTCCAACTACAAACTGGGCGTGCACATGTTGCCCAAGAAGGTCAGTTTTCTCTTCTCTATTTCATTAACAGTACAACTGTTTATAGACAGAACTGTGTTGAAAGTGCTGTAAAACATTCCTTCCTCCACCTGTTAAAATGTTTTGAGCGGAAATACCCAAGAATAAACGGAGATAATTATAAATGAGAAAGTTGACCAACCAGTGGTATATGATACAACTTGCAGTGTGTTGATGTGCTTCTCTTCACTCAAACAAATAAGTAACGTAGGTGATTGGTGGGTGCTTTGGTGTGGTTTGCTACTCTTTTCCTATAAAACATCAATTATCTTTATCTCACCTCCTCTTCTTTGTTCAGTGGAGTCCTGTTATAACGAGAGGGAGGGGACCGAAGCAAAATGTCAGTTATAGCAGGATTCTCGCTCTAAGGGATCCAGTAATAAATTCAAGGGAAATTGTAATGTAGGCCTTATCTATGAGTTTGGCGTTCTGTTTTTCCTTTTGCTATCTCTCCTGATGATGATTTTGTTTCAACATGACCTCTAGGTCTTGATAAAAAATCGAATCAGGTTTGTTTCTCTAACGCTAGATCTAGCGATGTGGACTGACAGCTCGGTGTTGGCGATCAGAAAGAAAGGGCTCTGGGTGTAACTCGCCCACTGTGTTTTTCTGTCTGCTTGCGCAGGTCACACATTCGCTCCATCCATTACATTGCTGTGACCTCTCCATCCCCGCATCGGAGAAGTGAGAGGCATGGCAGGCCTTGATAATCTAAACTGGCCTATCACGCGATGTGTTCTGCTTGTCTGCGCACGCCACTCCCTCCCTACTCAGTTGCTCCGGCCTTCATTGTTGACGCACATGGGCTCTCCTATTCTTTGTTTCGCAAGATCAGCAACAAGTTTCTCAACTGGCGAGGTCTTGCATTATGTATAATTGGCCAATGCCATGTGCACAGCAGCAGCAATATTCTGCTATAACCGACTCGCAAGTTTGTCTGATAGCGCTATAGCAGTATTTTGTTTACAAAGGTAAAGAGGAGAGAAAAACGGGGTTTTAGAATAGTGCATTTATAACAGACTTCTCGTTTTTTCCGGACTCGTTATAAGTGGACTCCACTGTGTACTACTTTCTAGTAACACCTCTAATCTTTGGCTCTTGTATGACCTAGAATTATTTTGCAAGTGCTGTAAAACTCTTTCTAAAACTAATTACTCCAACAAAGGAATGCTCAACAATGTTGTTTGTGTCCTTAATTTGTCCTAATTCAGTAATTGTGTTGCAAGTGCCGTAAAACTCTTACTAGTCTTACAAAAACTAACTACTCCAATAAAAGAGTATAAAAGAGTGCTCATCTGACATCAATGTTGTGTCCCCAGCTGGATGAGGAAGTAGCCGCTGCCCACTTGGAACATCTGGGTGTAGGACTGACCAAGCTGACCAAGGACCAAGCCGAATACCTGGGCATCCCACAGAACGGACCCTACAAGCCCAACCATTATAGATACTAGAAATCTCAACCTTATTTGTAGAACTTTCATTTTTGTGTATGCCGGTACTGGGATATTGATTGAAATTATTGTACACCATGTGAAAATTTGTTGATACCAGCGTACATTTTTATTGAAAAGTCAATCTCGGATTCTGACTTGTATCAGGTGCTTTACAATATCCTAGAACTACACAAAACGGTACGGTAATTTGCCACCGTTTTTGAATTGTTACTTAGGCCTCATGAGCTGTATAAACCTTTTGGGGCCAAGTTAGTCGAACGAAACAGTCTTGTGAACAAGAGTTCACGCCCTTTGATCTTGAGTGCATCCTGTCATTGTTCATAATCGGCTAAGTCCATCAACTTTTTTTTATATTCTTGTAAGTTAGTGCTCTGTGTTCATTGTGAGCCTGAACGAGTGTGTGTGAGAGCTGTGATATGGCGAAGTGAGTGAATGGATTGAATTCCTGTGGTGGACAAAACTGATTTTGATAACAAAAATAAAGACAGAAAAACATTTGACAGACGTTTGATATTTGATTTTTTGGTCATTCCTTGTTGTACTACTACTAATATCCATGAGTTGTGGGTCATTATTTTTCTGTTTATCCTTGCAGCTTGGTTTACATGGTTGGTGGGTGCTCCTTCTCTCGTATCAAATATCTGTCGTCCTTATTTCTCTCCTGCTTCTTTTCTTTGCATGTTACCCTCTAGATCTAGTATCACCTCTAATCTTCGACACTTACATTATTTATTTGTGTGCAAGTGCCGTAAAACCCTTGTGGGTGGTCTGGTGTAGTTTGCTCCTTCTTTCCTATCAAACATCTGTCATCCTTATCTCTCCCCCTTGTTTTATGTTTGTTGTTCTCTTTTAACACCTCTAATCTGTGGGACTTTCATTACTGGTACCCTTATTGTGTTGCAAGTGTTTTAAAACTTGCTAAAACGAGTAAAACTGAGTCAGATGTACAGGTATGTACTTTGACACAATGGAGGTCATTTGATCTCAGAAAATAATCAAAATGGCCCCTAAAAACAGTCTGGGAAAAAAAGGTGGAAAAAAGAACAATTTGCCTGTGAGATATAATAATAATAATAATAGATAATATTTGTGTAGCACAAATTCCTGCTCAACAGCAAGCTCTATGCACTTTAGTCTATATTATAACCGCGGCAAACCTGATAGCATTCTGAAGCAATCTCATCTTCCTGGGAAACATACAGTGCAAGCTGCCATTTTACAGGCGCTAAATCACTAACACTTAACTTCAAATAAGATCTTTCATTGTTTATGTCCGGGTACCCATTCACACCTTGATGAAGTGAGGAAAATTTGCGTGAAGGCTCGAACCCCCTGACCCACAACCTCACAATTATGTCTGGTACCCTAACCACTAGACCACATATTGATATTGTGTGCCTATGCCACTTGTTTCTTGAAAATATAATATTTAATATAATACACATCATGTATAGGCTTACTACATGTACATACATGCTCTGGAGTCGCTGAAACTGAGAATGGTTAATATGGGGGAAAAAAGAAAATTCCCAATGTTTTTCTTCTTTGAAAAGAAAACTATTGATTAGATCTAGCCGAAATGTTCCTATTTCTGAACCACAAACATAATGAAATTTGTTGAGAGTTATGTTGTCTGAACTTCACTCGCAACCCTCAAGTATGCAATCATCAAGCCTTGCTCACTTCAAGAAAACAAAACAGAAGACAGAGTCATCAAGAGGACACATGTGTCAATTGCGGGCCAGAGGAAGGCTTTGTCAGTTGTTTAGGACACACATGGGTTTACATAATGTGTATCATGACGCAAGTATAGAGAGTGTACATCTGTCGTGGGACCTTTGGTTGGTCATGGACTACTGTCTCTGCCAAGCTAGTTCACATACAAATAGGCACGTAAAGTGGTTTCATAGCGTCGATGACATTAGGGCGATAACACAGAGAACGCGGAACTTCAGCGGCTGAAGATCGACGGGGACAGGCGCCAGTAGGTGTCTGCTTGACTCCACATAGAGGGCGCCTAAAGCTGAGATCTAGATATTTAAAAAAATGACACAGCTGGTATATCTATGAAGCATTTATTTGGGGATTAAAAAAAACAACCTCGAAATTCCTAAAATATTGCTTAAAACTTAAAATATAATTCTGCTCGATGACCACCCTCATTTTGACGACGCTGATTAAAGAAAATGAAATTAGTTTTTGTCTACCATGCAACACCAGCTCTGAAATGACCGTTTAAAACTGTCCCCAATCCAGTCGGGTGATGTCACGCAAACCGCTCAACCCGAGTTCGCGACGGTGAGACGGCATGAGTTCGCGACCTCAGAGCTTTCTTGTCTCATCTCCATTTTTAATAACAGTGAAAACAGTTCACAGGAAAGATTGAGCTTCATAAGAAGTTACATTTTCACTTTAAAAAAATGGAGATACGACAAGAAAGCACCGAGGTCACGAGTTGAAAGCGAGGCGCCCTTCCCAGCTTTTCGGTGTAATAAGAATGTAGTTTGGATACCGATAAAGCAGACAACGCCGATCCGAGCTTAAGGCCGCCTGCAGTCTGCCAGCTCTATGTGGGGCAAGTTGGAAATCATAAGGGAATTTTTATACCTATCGGCGCTTACTGAGTCAGTCTCCGAAATCGGTGTTCTCTGTGTTTTCGTCCCTAGGCTTCTCTATTCTTTAGCCTAAAATTTGAGGACCCCTCCCCCCCGGAAAAAACAAAAAACCCCCCCCAAAAAACCCCACCTAGAAGCCAGAGTGGTGATGGGAATAGCCGCATCTAGCTCCAAGAATGAAGGAACATGACACAGTATACAGTAAACACGGATGGCTCGAATCCATCGGGACCGGCCTCGGTACTTGTACATGGGTATCTCCAGATAATGGGAGTTTGATGTCTGTGTTTAAGGAAAGGAAATATTATGCAAGGAACAGGGGTGTGATTTTTGTTTATTTGTGGATGAACTTGATCCAGTATGCTGTAAGTTGAACAGTGGTCTTTAAACTGTAGTTAATATTCACCTGTTAACTCACTTGCGACTGGGCTCTTTCACCAGCCACAAGCGTTGAAGACTGGCGTTTTGGGGGGTATTTCAATAAATCACCACAACTCTCAGAATTACCCTATTGTAATCATTTTTTGACACAGTAAAGTAACATTCAAGCTTAATCTAATACAAAAAACTAAAGTTGTCTAAGTCTAATACTTTAATTTGTATGATTTTTTAAAAATTGGCATGAATTTGATTTTCGAAAAATTTCCAGAGACGTGACAAGTAGAATGAAATTCACTGCAACAACAAAAATAAAAGTTCAAAGTGTTCTGGTTTGATTTGTATACATGTGCAAGTGTTTGGTGAAAATATAAAAGCTGGTCTGTGCATTGATTCAGACCCATACACTGAATTACATGAGACAGATGTACGGCACGACGTTGTGATTTCGTTGCGCGAAAAACAACACCGGTACTAGTGCTAGATCTAGCCCTAGAACTGCGACTCGGGCCGTGTTCGGGTACATATCCAGGATCCTAACTATTAGACACATCATATTCTGAGACACTAGAACTAGTAAAACGCACAGAAGTATAGAAAACGGCGAAATTATGTGATTCTTGTTCATGCGACTTCTTCGACCGTTACTACGCCGCGACTGTCGGATTACTATGAGCTGTATAGAAAAAAACAAAGCGCGAGTTCCGGTCTGTTCAACCCCAGTTGGGGTCACTGTCCTTCACCTTCAATAACTTAAAAACTACCGGCCCCAGAGATACGAAACGAAGTCTAAGTAGCTCAGGCTTGGCCAAACAAGGGTACGAGGCGGGTCTCGCGATCCGTGCGTGATTTGTAGAGCGAAAAAAAAATTCCAAAGTTGGTCACGCAGGGCTTGTGAGACCCGACGCGAGCGTCATGGCAGGGGTCACGCAACTGTTGTGTGACCCGTCTGAAGTGAGTCAAAAGTCCCCAAATTGACATGAATGTGAAGAAGGAAGTTTCAACCCTGCATAAAAAACAAGCTGACACAAGCACATGTAGTGACACCAATACTGACACAAGCACAGTGACAATATTAATACTGACACAAGCACATGTAGTGACACTAATAATACTGACACAAGCACATGTCGTAACACCAATACTGACACCAAAACCAACACAAGCACATTCACCGACACCACACCAGAGAACGAACAGCACAAGCAGCAAATGAGAAATTCTTTTTCCAAATGTTGTTTATTATTGACTGTTTTCACAATATGTACAAGCAGTCAGTCGCACAAGTCGGATAACAAAACTCTAGTTATGTACATCATCAGCATTACTCAAATACTTAGAAAACCTCACTCCCAAGTACAGGCAGTTGCCCCAACAACACCAGGTGCTTAGAGACAGAACTCACTTATCACTTCTTTGACTTAATTGTTCACGTGACTGAGAGGACAATTGATTATGTTCTCCCATCTTTCTCTACCTAGCTCAAAACAAACAGACTAAAAGTCTTCACAGCCCACACTTCAGCCAATACCACTTTCATTCTAACAAACGTTCCCTCATCACTTGACAAACTTCACACGACAATTTTCTCGACCTCACTTCTCCGTCAACAACTGTCATGACAATCGACATCTTAAAGACTTTTGTAGATGCAGATCTTTAAAAAAATAAACCAAACGGACACAGTTTTCTCTTTCAGGAACATTCTAGGATTTTTTTGATTTATCATCTACAACATTCTTCCTCGCTGCAGTTGAACCTTGAACTTTCTTGGGATTGTATGCGTACGTCTTGATGATGGGGCCCTGGGCGGCTTTACGGTAATTTTTCTCATCCAGTCTCTGCCTCTCGGCAACTTGCTGGGACGCCTTCATGTTGCTGTATGCTGTGGACACAAATAAAATCACATTACAGCTGGGGACACACAGACAATCACACATAGCTAGGGGACACACAAACACTAACTCATAGCTGGGGGACACACAGACAATCACAAATAGCAGGGTGACACACAGACAATTCCTTACAGCTGGGGACACACAGACAATCACTCATAGCTGGGGAACACACAGACAATTCCTTACAGCTGGGGACACACAGACAACCACTCATAGCTGGGGACACACAAGACAATCACTCATAGCTGGGGACACACAGACAATCACTTATAGCTGGGGACACACAGACAATCACTCATAGCTGGGGACACACAGACAATCACTTACAGCTGGGGACACACAGACAATTCCTTACAGCTGGGGGACACACAGACAATCACACATAGCTAGGGGACACACAAACACTCACTCATAGCTGGGGAACACACAGACAATTACAAATAGCTGGGGGACACACAGACAATTCCTTACAGCTGGGGACACACAGACATTCACTCATAGCTGGGGGATACACAGCTAGAGGACACACAGACAATTCCTTACAGCTGGGAACACACAGACAATCACACATAGCTGGGGGAACACTATCACTTTTAGCTGGGGACACTATGTCCTAGTGCCATTATTCTATGTCCTGGTGTCCTTATTCTGTGCCATGGTATCCTTATCCTATGTCCCAGTGTCTTTACCTGTCCTAATGTCCTTATTCTACATTCTAAACCAATGTGACAACAAAGAGACCAAAAAAAAAATTATTTTTGAACTCACATTCTTTGAAACCTTCAAGGAATCCTTTCTTCTCCACAGGTGTGACCGGGTGAACAACACGCTCGGGGAGGTTGAAGAATTTCCGCACGGCCGGGATTTTGAGGAACATGACTTGCATCAGGGAGAAGGAGTTGGAGGTGAACCAGTAGACCAGCATCGCCTAAAGTATGGAGATATACACATATAACCATTATTGCCTGACACACATACATTACCATCATTGCCTGACACACAGAGACAGACACACACATAACCATCATTGCCTGACACACAGAGACAGACACACACATAACCATCATAGCCTGACACACAGAGACACACACACACACACACATAACCATCATTGCCTGACACACAGAGACAGACACACACACATAACCATCATTGCCTGACACACAGAGACAGACACACATATAACCATCATTGCCTGACACACAGAGACAGACACACACATAACCATCATTGCCTGACACACAGAGACACACACACATAACCATCATTGCCTGACACACAGAGACACACACACATAACCATCATTGCCTGACACACAGAGACAGACACACACATAACCATCATTGCCTGACACATAGAGACACACACACATAACCATCATTGCCTGACACACACATAACCATCATTGCCTGACACATAGAGACACACACACACACACATAACCATCATTGCCTAACACACATTACCATCATTGCCTGACACACAGAGACAGACACACATATAACCATCATTGACAGACACACAGAGACACACACACACACACACGTAACTATCATTGCCTGACACACAGAAACAGACACACACATATAACCATCATTGCCTGACACACAGAGACACACACACACACAACCATCATTGCCTGACACACAGAGACACACACACATAACCATCATTGCTTGACACACAGAGACACACACAGATAACCATCATTGCCTGACACACAGAGACAGACACACATATAACCATCATTGCCTGACACACAGAGACACACACACAACCATCATTGCCTGAAACACAGAGACACACACACAACCATCATTGCCTGAAACACAGAGACACACACACACACATAACCATCATTGCCTGACACAGAGACAGACACACACATAACCATCATTGCCTGACACACAGAGACACACACAGATAACCATAATTGCCTGACACACAGAGACAGACACACATATAACCATCATTGCCTGACACACAGAGACACACACACAACCATCATTGCCTGAAACACAGAGACACACACACAACCATCATTGCCTGAAACACAGAGACACACACACACACATAACCATCATTGCCTGACACAGAGACAGACACACATATAACCATCATTGCCTGACACACAGAGACAGACACACACAACAACCATCATTTCCATTGTCTTATTACGTACATATAGACTAGTACTTAAATCTTTTATTTTTTAAAGAATAAATTTTAAAGGGCAGAGAGATCGCCTTCCAGGATGGATATAAATACGCATTATAAATGCAATCCATTACTTTTTATTATCATACATACCACTCAGGTTAACGAAGTGTATTTCTATCCTTACTGTTGTAATTATTATGAAACCAAAGGAAAAACCGTTGAGGGTTGGTGATAACACAGAAATACAGTCGAACCTGCTCTAATGGCCACCTGTATCAGACAATCACCTCTACAGCCGGCTACTTCCCATTTCCTCCCTTGCACTTGTGTAACCCTTAGAGCGGTAACTTCTTTCCCCTTATACTTTCCCTCTGTGCTGAATTTATTTTGGAAAAATACCAAATTTGCACACACACATTTTTTTTGCTAATAACTTTTTTATTTGTCAAAATTTCTAATAAAGGTACGAATAAAAGTTTTAGGATATTGAAAGTTCTTTATGAATATATGTGAAGCAAAAAGTATTTTGTAAAGTTATTGTTGTAGTAGTGGTTTTTATAAATGACTGAATAAAAACTGCCGGTTAATTAGATCTCTAGATCTAGACCAGAGTCTATATGCTTCGTAGGCCTACGTTATATTCCACAAAGTGTTAGCTCTAGCATCAAAACCCTTGAAATCATCTTCCGATTCAAGGAAAATATGCGGAACATCTTTACCTGAATCTGATGCGACACTATTTTCATGTTTGTCGCGGGTCGCAATCGTGAATTTTCCAACTTCACTGTCACTTGACTTCAACGTGAAACAAAAAACTCCTCGCGCCTCGATCAAACCCCGTGACAAGAAAAATGGCAGGCGAAATCAATTCTGCGTAGCCTACCAGCCAGCAGTATAAAAATTAGTACTTCGTTCTTTTCGTACATCGCGTTATACTATGCCAATGTCTATCGCAACTGGCGGTCGCAATCAGCACTTTACGGAAGTTCAGGCCGTCGCGACCGGTTGTGATCAGCAGTCTAAGGGTTAAAATTACAATGACAGCCACCTGTCTAAGACGGCCACTTTTCTCCTCAACTGTGTGTGGCTGTCTTAGACAATGTCTACTATACTTCAACTTTCCATCATCAGCACACAGGACAAGTGGAATAAAGTTTTAGTTTTAGAAAAAGTCTTCAAAACTTACAACACACATTGGTCATTTAAGTGCCAAAGATTAGAGGTTTGTCTAGAGAGTATCATACAAAGAAAAGAAGGAGGAGAGATAATTATAGATGCTTGATAGGAAAGAAGGAGCAAAGCAAACAAGAGCCTCTGTCACCCACCCACTTGAAATTAAGTCACTTACAGTCGGGAAGTTGGAGATGAGCGGCAACATGACTAGAGGCATCCCTCGTAGAATCCACTTCATGACATGAGTCTGGGCCTGAGGGTTCATGCCGTCCACTCCTGCCTGGCGAACACACAAACAGAAACAAGAATAATTGTAACGATAATAACAATAAGTCAATGCTAGGATGTTATAATTTGTATGTGTGTGAATGAAAAGGGAGGGGAACGGGGGAGGGAGAGTGAGAGAGAGAGAAATTTGTTTTTTGTTTCAGTGAAGGTTTTACTGCACTTGCAACTGCATAAGGTCATATGAGCGCCAAGGGGTGGATGTCAACAGAGAAGTCCTTACACGGAATCATATACTCTGCTCACCTCTATAGCATCAACAGCACAAAGTCTGCTTCGACTATCAAGGCACCCCAGAAATAGCAGGTCACAAGAATGTGACAAACATACAAAAGAAGTAGAGAAAAAATGACCATAGTAAGGATAAAGAAAGAAAAGGCAGCAGTTCCCTGTAGCAGTTCAGGCAGTTATGAGCACGACATTGATGAATCAGCCCATTTACAATTCTACAGTGCATAAGAACAGGTTAATGTCCCCCCTTTGGGAATGGCCTAAAGACACTTCAGTCAGTAGCACCGCCCCAGGAGATGAGAGAGAGAGAGAGAGAGAGAGAGAGAGAGAGAGAGAGAGAGAGAGAGAGAGAGAGAGAGAGAGAGAGAGAGAGAGAGAGTCATTTTTGTTATAGAACACATTAAGCAATCATACAATGAAAATGCTCTACCTAACTACCATCCATTATCAGTATTCATTACTAATGAGCAGTACTTCCGGAATGGCTCTCTTTCACTCTTATGTAGTTGCGAGCACCGTAAAACACTTACCAAAACAACAAATCAAAAACTCTCATGCATAATATCATAACAACTTTGCCACTTATATACAACTGAAATTAAATTGTTTAACACAGCCATCTGTTGCCAAGGAGAAAAGTGGACATCTTAGACAGGTGGATATCTTACACAGTGATATAATGTTTTACAAAATTGTGGGAGTGGAATTTGCACTACACAAGTGCTATTTATTATAATAAGATGTATTTGGATTTGTACAAGGACATAACACAAATCTAGACAGAATGGTTCAGGTGAGCTACCTCGATTGTGAGCCAAAAAGTGAAGGCCGTCATGAGCGGCAGGCCATAGAAGACTTCGGTGACGGTGAGATCGGGGAACCAGAGGACCCCTCCCGTCTTCATACTCTCCACGGGGAGATTGGCCATCCCTCGCAGGCCCACAAACACAGAGACAAATACAGGCAGCTGTGGAACAACAGACGGGTTGTATTTCAGGTGTTGAGAGATATTCCCTTTCCTGTAACCCAGACATCCCTTTCTGACAAAAAGTTTTGAACAAGAAAAACCATGCTCTTTATTGTTTTAAAAATATTCCCTGACATTATGAGTAAAACTGAAAAATTAAAAAGTTTTAAATCGTACACTTTAAAAGGCTATCATAGTAAAATTTATTGAGGAACAAATGTTTTGAGTAGAAAACACATATTAAAAATAAAAAAATCAATTTAAAAAATCGTTCGTTCCATGCAATATATGATAAGACTGTAGGTCTCCACAGTTGACTCAGTTACTCCGGCAACTTTTACTCGAGACAAGGTAAAACAAATATACAATCGTTGCAGTCAAGTTTTCAACAACAACAACAAAAAAAGGACTAGTTAAACAAGTGGGTCAAGATGGTGGGTATTGGCCACGTAACCCTCCCTCACTCAAGTCCATCACACACGTATTTCTGCATTCAATAGCAGCTAACTATGGCAATGGATACAACTACAACTGACCTATCAGCTTTGTTCTCATTACTACTTGCAAATCCAGTGTAAAAAGTTAATGGGTTTTTTTTAGCATCAGTGAGTCCCTGAGGAGCAGTGCTAGAAAACAGAATACATATTTTGCAACATGAAAACTGTCTGCCATACACAGACCTTCAAAATTGTATAAAATATGTTTTTTACAAACAGGTCGGACAAATATCTCCCACAGAGAACAGCGATGTTCGACACTCAATAATGAAAACGACGGCCACAGTGGCCTTTCTCAGCAGAGTCAATGTCATGGCAGAAATTGAAATAAGAAAATTTAACTTGTACCTGGCACATTGGCATCAGCATCTGCCCAAAAGGCTTCACATTGTTCCTCTTCATGTAGTCTCCCAGTTCCCCTCCATACTGCATAGCTGAGGAAATAAACATACAACACAATTCAGTACAATACATTACGATACCTTCCAAACCCTACCCTATCCTCCCTACCTTCATACAAAGGTACACATACAGTCCGTAAGTAAGGCATATAGAACGCCTCTCTACATGGCTCACTTCAGCAATACATCAGATTAGGAAAATTGGGACAAATAGTGCAAATCAAGTTTGTACCAATAGTAGTGTATCATACACTTGATACACCGATACTATCACAAATCTAGTTGTACCAATAGCATTGTACTGCACACTTGACACATCAACACTATCACAAATCTAATTGTACCAATAGCATTGTACCGCACACTTGACACATCAACACTATCACAAATCTAATTGCACACTTCTATATATACATGACAGACCAACATTATGATAATTCTAAATGTTCGAACAGTAATGGCTCACAAACTTGACAGATCAACATGATCTTTCCTCTTTCCTACCCTAGAACCCCCCCCCCCCCCACCCACACACACATACACAGCAGCAAAATAAAACAATGTGTACACAAAAACACACAGCAGGTCAAACATGCGTGACTGCAAAGACAATTTTTATATGGACTATATAGTCATGCTATCTGACAGTGTACAAAACTAAAATCCGAAAAAGTTTTTTAAAAAGGGCTCTTAAAAGCACAACAGTTTTCTTTATATAGCCCACGGCAGTAAAAAAAAATTTTTTTTAGAAAAGGCTAGCAAAGTCCAGAGTGGCCAGACCTTCCAGCATATTCCCTCTCTGTCTGGCTTGAGTAAACTTGAGCTGGAGTCTCTGAATAGTGGGCATGTGATTCATCATGTTGATGGACATCTTCTGGGCTTTGATCACAACAGGAAACATACACATTCGCAGAAATACCGTCGCTGAGCACAGAAAGAAAATAAAACTTCACATTAGAACGGGGGGAGAAAAAGGAATCTAAGGAAATTAATTTCATTTTAAAAAATTCTATACAAAGGGATGAGAAGTGCAATACAAATTTCAATACTGAAAAAATAAATAGAAAAAAAAACTCAACATACTGAACCCCATTCATAATTGCAGATATATCGCCGCTTCAGAAATATTTTGTCCAAAGTGAAGTTATTTAAGTACAGTACACTTTGGACAATATAGTTCTGAGGTGACGAATTTGTCAAGTGAAAGGAAGTAAGATGGTTTAAATTATATTTGGTTGAGTAAGAGAAGCTATAACTGTAATAAACTACACATAATACAAACTTAATCCAACCCGTACGCCCTGGGGTCATTTTGCATCCCCACGGTTGTATTTTTCACATTTTAGAATACTTCTAGTACGAAGATCTCTTTGAAAACTGCAGTATTAAAAAAACAAAAACTTTTTGACAGACTGCTTTGCAAAGCGTACGGATTGGATTAACGAGTAAATTTACTCTTTGGAAAGTGGTGGCACAGAGTTCCCCACGACGTATGGATACGATAGTAAAACACGACGTACAGATAAGGTTAAGGAATAAAATATGCAGTCAGTATAATCAAGGAGCATGCTGCATGTATTCATTAGAGGTGCAAACTGACTACACATTTTTTTTTTTAAAATCCTGAACTTTCAGGATCCCATGGAAATGCACGCACTGGACTCAAAATTAACCATTTTTTACAGCATGCTATCGGCCTGAAGTCCAGCAAAATTCAGATAGTTTCAATAATCTGGATTTCCAGATTTATCTGATAAATCAGAATCTCTGATCTACAAAGACTGCCAAAAGGTGATACTAAATGCACAAGGAAGAATCGAGAAGAAAAAGGTACAAGTTTGAACCCTGCATCTATTGTTATAGATACATGGCCCCTTTTTTACATTGGGAACCTTTCTGGCAACCCGACTGATAAAGGGAGGTTAATCATGCGTTTTCTTGTACGAGAAAAAGTCAGTCATGAGAAAGTGGGATACGAGAGAGGACCGAGCTAAAAGTCAATCACAAGGGAAGGGACAGAGCCAACGTCAAGTCATAGAACGGAAAATCAACTTACACTTGTTTGAAACCAAATAAAAGTGTGTTCAGTTGAAAAGGGTAGTCCATTTAATTTAATCTTTCTTCTCAACATTTGTATGACCAGTGTTCCGTAATATCCATTGCCACAGTTCTGCAACATGATCCTAAAAGATGATCTCTGAAAATCTTAAATCAGTCGAGCTTTACAGCCCACAGGAAGCTTCACAAACGGGTGGAAAATATATCTCTTCACTTATGTTACATAGGAGATTATCCAAATCAAAGATCAATCTCTTTCTGAGCTATTGGTTCACAGGACCCAAGTCTTAACCCTTAAAACCCTGAATTCTTTTTTTTCATAACTCCCTAGAATCTTCAAGTTGAAATCCAGATACCGGTACAAAAAAACCACACACAACAAAAAAACCCACCCCAAAACAAGTTGGTTCATTCTTTTATTTACTGTGGGGGGGTTTTTGGTAAGTGTTTCAAGGGCGCTCGAAACTGCATAAGGTAATATGGGCGCGCGGGACACACCAAACATTTTTCAGTTGGCAGAAAAATTTGAATTTGGCCCGGGTTGCGGCTGAAGCTTTTATCGATTTTGGACCAAAAAGAGTTCTTTAACATGCACAACTTGCACATGGGACCTCCGAGATTTTCCGCCCTTGCCTGAGAAGGCTAGGTGTAAATTTTTCCAACCATAAGATCAGGGGTGAGGCTGAAAGACAGCAGTAAGAAGAAGCAGTAGAAAGGCTGCAGAAAGAGTCAGGAGCCCAGAGAAGGTGAGAAGGTGGGGGCAGAAAGTGGAGACAAAAGCAGACAACCGAACATGGTTAGAGAGCAGGAAAGGATGTGAAAGGAGAAAATATTAGAGAAGAAAATTTTCAGTTGCAACCCGGATTTGAACCTAGGACCTTTGAAGGAGAAGCGAACACCTTAACTTCCAGGCCACGAGAGCCCCCTGCTGAGTTTTTAATTGTTAGATTTTACTGAAGTTTGAAAATCTTTTGTATATATGAATGCACAGTCTGGTCAAAAGGAGAAACGGTTAAAACACTGGTTTTTAGGACCAAATCTATGAGTAAAGCTTTGTGAGTGATCCCTGACTCCGCTTCAGCCAAAGCATCATCAGATCTAGCCTCCGGCAGCTCTAGTAGTGATCCCCTTCCAAAATCACCATCCATGTTATGCGAAACATTGCAATAGTCTTCAACAGTCATATTTATCGATATATTCTTCTGGGTGATCATCATTGGGGTCTGGTTCAAAATAAAAAATGTCAAAACTTTGCGAACTTATGGTCCTGGCAGCGAAAAGTCACTCATTTTTTTTAACTCACAAAAATTCCTAACTTTTGGTGTAGAACTGCTCTTATGACATCGATACTTTCTGCTCGCGACAGAGTCATCTGGAGTTACATCCTATGTTTCTAGCACTGGAAATTAAACAATAAATTTTACCAGTGGTATAGGGAAATACCTAGCGGTATAGGGTTCTAAGGGTTAAGCATCTCAAATACTGTTCTCAGCATGTTAGAGAGACATGAGTAAGTCAACATCAAAAAGACATACAGAGACAGAATCAAAGGCTCAAGCTTTGATGAAGACATCATACAGTGACAGCATGAAAGGATCAATCTGTGAAACATGGACTGTGAACTGTGAAAATTTTGCTTAATGGTAGGTTCCGAGAGTACCAACCTAAGACAATGGTTCCCCACCATGGCAAGCCCAGACTGACATGGGCGGCTTCAAGCCCCTGCTGGACTATGCCAGACGGCCAGTAACTGCCCAGACCTACTGACTGCAGTGTAGGTTCTCCGAGGGCATTGAGGGTTTCCACTAGCTCCGATGTAGCAGATGTTGGCTCTGGTATGGGTGGGGCTGGAGGAATGTAGTCAGAGGGTGGGCTGATGAAACCTGAAGACTGGACGGATATAGTACAGAGTGAAGCACCCACATATATGATGAAATTTGAAAATGCCTCTCTTGCTGTCCCCTGACAGTTCTTTTTATTCTGAGATTTCTTTCTTTAGAGTTTTTCACAAGTTGAAAAAAATCAGGTAAAATCCTCAAAACTCATTAAATACAGAACATTCAAATTCTGAAACAAAACTATGCTGTGTGATAAATTCCACCGAATACAAATAACCACCAAAACACCCACAAGAAAGCCCTAACGGAGAGAGACATCAGCTCCTGGAGCTCAAGAGATATCTTCAATTTCAGTTACAATTACAAACACTAAATTGACTAAAGGTAAGAAGATAAAAGACAACAAAGGTCTAAATCATGAGTAACATTGTGTCTTAATATGAAAACAAGGATTTCAATTGTAAAAATGGGAAAACAGCACAGTTATCTTATTAAACTTCTGATGATTTTCTACAACTTAAAAAATTGGCAACATAAACCACCAAGCATTGATAATGGAATTATTGGCTTACTGCTGCACTGTTTGAACTATTCCACCTCGCTGACAACACAGGAGCTCCTACTGATGTCTGTCTGTGACATCTGAACAAACGAGCGGCTAACACGGGTACTTGGCTAGCCACTCTCCTCCCGGAGTGGAACGATGCACACGTCACCAGTGCAAACGTCATCTGATAGGAAGTTAAAAACACAGAGTTTTATTTAAATGTATCCTACTGACTATGAAAGTTCCATGGTTATACAAAACCAAAGACAAACACACATACAAACCGATGGGTACTTTTCCGTACAGACAGGGTAAGATGTAAAGACAAACAAGGAGTAAGAAAGGATAGAGAGTTTTCCCCCCCCCACTTTCAAGTAAAACTAGATTTAGACCAATATTTTAAACATTTTTTTGTTCAAACCTTTGAAAGAAGGCTAGGGGAGAAGAAAAGTTTTAACGAAAACAACGAACAATGATCAAAACAATATATTATATTCTTCTCAATTTTTGCTTTCACTCTCGCACACAGATGCACTACTTTTGGGGCTCAACCAGCCATATTGTTTGCTGCAGATCACAAAATATGGCCACTAAAACTGTTGCAAATTAATTAATTTTTTTTAAAGACAATTTCAAAACTTAATTGCAAACATCAAATTATGGGGGGGTGGGGGGGCAAAAATACCCCCCCCCCCCCCGTACAATTAGGTTTAACGTAATATGGTTTGAATAAAAACCATAACATACTTTTAAAATAATTAATTTAGTAGTATTAGGCTAATTTGTGACTGACATATCTATAGTCAATATTCGTGTAAAACAAACCAAAAAAAAGGATAAAAATGAACAAAAAAAGGGATAGAGATATAATACAGTGGAACTCGGATTCAACGAAAACTCGGCTTCAACAATAGGAGTTATATTCCCCCATTTTTTAAATTAATAAAAATGAACAAAAATAACTTGGATTCAACAGGCCCATACAAGAGCAAGTTCGGATTCAACGAAGTCACTTGCAGGGAGAACAGTCCCCACTGATGTGACTTCCTTCATTTTTCTCCTGCAACGAACTTTTAACTATTCCCCGACAAGTGGATAGCTAGAAAACAACAACTAAACACCAATATTTATAGTAACAGCCATCTTGTTTGACATCGCAAGGGGGATGCCTGCCACAGGTGCGCATCATCTAATTGTGATTCGAAAAATAGTGATGATTTTGCGTAGCGCGCGGTTTGCAGGCAGTTTCCAAGCTCCTTCCCCTTATAGTTCTACTCCATTTGCAGCTCACTGTCCTATTGAGTTCAATCTCTTGTAAGTGCTTAATTTCTTGTGCTTACAAAACTTTAAAAGAAACGAACCGGATAGAAGCCGTCCATCATTTGCACTGCGTCGTTGAACTTCGGTTGAACTTGTTTTCGTATCCAAATTGACGTAGATCTAGGCCTACTCTTAGTCTTCTTCTTCTCAGTTTACGTAGTGTACAGCATGAGAATCAATCTGGACGGGAGAAGGGTGTTGCACAATCACAGACAACCAAACTGAACAGTTCTGCAAGTTGCAAAGAAAATAATCCGAGTCGGCAGGCTGCCGTCGTGCAGTCATGTTGTCACCATGACTGACAAAGTGGGAATCCCTCAAAGACATCAAACAAGATGGCTGTTACTATGAATATCGGCCAATGGCGGGTACTACTTAAGAATGTGAGTCCCGTTTGGGGATACTAGTTTTGACCTCAAAGACGATTAGTTCTGACTCTAAACGATTGCTTTTTGATGCGCGAGCCGATATGGAGAGATTGTCTATCAAACTTCATTGCAAAACATCAAATTATGGTCAAATTTAGGGGGCCCTGAAACCCCCCATGTTTTTGTTAGGTCAGAGGGGCACTTGCCCCCTGAAACCACATGCGATTAAACGCAGAACGACGCATCTTCCTGATTGGCTGCTAATTTTAGTAATGAATGTGATGCCATCACATCCTGGGATACCCACAGACTGTTTTAAGAAGGCCGTGGAGGTACCACATGGAATGACACGTTTACGGTATGTTAATAACATTTCGGAATTCCGATACTTGGACATGATGGAAGATCACAAAGATCGTTGATGCTCAGAACAGTAAGAACACTGATGCTTGAAATTTAAACACGGTAAACGGAAAGACAATAAACCGCACGAAAACTGCCGTAAAGACGCCGGAGGACTACCCCCCCCACTCCTGCATGCTTCATCACTACATACATAAAAAACACATGAAGCTACAGCGAGCACCTCTGTGATAGGCCCAAATATAGATAATATATTTCCGCCATCTATTTTTGTCATCTTCCGGGGCTTCCCTCGCCAGCTGTAGATAGATCTCACCGTGGCGGATCCGCTTTGCCGCTTAGCGCGCAATGGGCTACATCACTAGGTTTCATAGCCGATTGCTTGGGCTGTGTGTGCGTGCGCGCGTGTGTGCATGTGTTTGTGTGTATGTAAGTGCACACACTTTTGAGTACAACTTTGAGGAGAAGGTAAATTTATGCAATGAGAATTGCTGAGATTGTCTATAAAAGATAACACAAATTAATACACACAAAAAAAAAAACCAAACACGGCGAGATCTAGTCAACAGTTACTGGCGAGGGAAACCCAAGAGTCAACGGGGAACCCCCTAAAGACGACAAAAAATAGACAGCCGAAATACGCCATCTGTATTTGGGCCAACCACAGAGGTGTTCTAGGTGCTCGCTGTAGCTTCATGTATAAAAAAACTACAAAGCAACAAATTATAATTTATGGGAAAAACTGTTGGCCAGTCGGGAGGAGGAGAAAAAAGAAAAAGAAAAAAGAAAACCCCTGCGGGACCAAGATTCGTTCCCATGCTCATAAAATAATTGTTTGACTTCTAACGCAGACACACTTTCCATTCAGACAGGCGATTAAACGTAGAACGACGCATCCTCCTGATTGGTTGCTAATTTTAGTCATGTGATGTCATCACTTCCCGGGATACTCACAGACAATTAAGAAGGCCGTGGAGGTACCGCATGGAATAACGTGTTTATGGTGTGTTAATAACATTTCGGAATTCCGGTACTTGGAAATGATGGAAGATTGCTTAGATCGTTATGCTCATAACAGTAAGAACGCTGATGCTTGAAATTGAAACACGGTAAACGCAAAGACAATAAACTGCACGAAAGCAGCCGCAAAGACGCTGGAGGATTACCCCCCCCCCTCTTGCATGCTTCATCACTACATACATGAAAAAGAACTACAAAGCAACAAATTATGATTTATGGGGGAAAAAAAAAACCTTCCGGAACTGGGATTCATTCCCACGCTCATTAAATAATCATATGACTTCAAACACAGACACGCTGTCCATTCGGCCATCAAAACTTCCAACAGCGAGAGGTAGATTAAGCTTGATATACATACGGTTGGCTATATTTAGATGTAGTCACGTGATAGGACGGATATCCTGGTCTGGTGTTAAACAAGATGGCAGCCTTACCTAAAATAGTTTGCTTCATTCTACATTTAATCGCATGTTCCATTCGGCCATCAGAACTTCCATCTTTGGTGCCATGCGGTCGGCTATATTTCGATGGGGAACCGGTCATTTTACCACATCCCAATTATGTATGACGAAATGACTTCACTTATATTATCTCTCCCAAATTGTTATGCAAGTAGAGGTTTGGAGGATCAGCCTAAAGCAGCCATACATTTCTATTAGCAAATTTATTTTTAATAGATCTTGCCAATCACACATTTCATCAATAATAATACCTAAAAACTTTGTTGATCTGACTTGATAGATTCCAATATGGGCAATACATTTATATGTATGAACGGTGTAGCTGACCCCAACCCTCCCCCAAAAATCGTTATTAGCGATTGCCATGACAATGTGCGTTTGATGTTTGCAAGTGTGCTACGAAATGACCGTCTCCATTCGTCCTTTGTGGATTTGGAGTGTGACGAATTGACTGCACCAGTGTGATGAAATGACTGGTATTTTTTAGATATGTAGTCACATGATCGGAGGGGTATCCCGGTCTGACGTCAAACAAGATGGCCACCTTACCTAAAAATAGTTTGCGTCATTCTCCGTTTAATCGCATGGCCCAAAACCCCCTTACCCATGCCCCCTTGCCTTGCTAAAGACATGGTGAAATTTTACTGCTCATTTTGTAGGGGAAGTGGTTATAATAACCCATGTTTCGCTATTCTCAGCCCCTCATTTTACCGGAAATAACCCTAGTGGGATCAAGGCGGAGGTTAGTGGGCATGACCCAGGGGGGGGGGGTCAGGGCAGATGCTCCACAGCATCATGTTCGTCACAGTTCGTGTCCGAATAGTCACAGTCAGGGTTGTCAGTTTGGAGCCAAATCTCAGAAATTCGGCTCTTTTGGATTGTGTTCGGCCTGGAGAATTTCATTTGGCTCTCTGGCTCTTTTTTGGCTCCAAACTCCAAATGTTAAAGAAGAAGGGGAAAGAGGAGGCAAGAAGAAAAAAAAAGAAAAGAAAAAGAAAGAATAAAAGAAAAAAAGTGAAAATGAACAAAAGAGCTTGGATTGTTTAATTATTAAACTAGTTAATACGATTTAACACCCTCGCCCACTTGGTCTGAATAATTTACAACCCTTCTACTGTCGTGCAAGAGCATTTATCGTCTCATTACGCTTGTACAAGCTCTCTGTTCCTTGAACCATAATTTAACCCTCGTTTTGCGGGGGCGGGTTTATGTCGCCCGAAAAGCCTATTTTGGCACCTCGCCTTCTTTCTGGTCCGGCGTCAGTCTGGCCCCTGGCTCAGTGCATGCGCGCCGAGCATCATCTCCCGTTCAATTCAGGTCCAGCGTCGGATCCGCATTCACGCAGCTCAAGTGTGTGTGCGTCAGTCTGCTTGAGTTTGTGTGCGTTTGTGGCCTTCTTCTAAAACCGTCTGCGTTGGTTCGTAACAGAGGCATACGTCTCATTCAAAACAAGCCAAGTTGGTAGTTCTAGATGTTCGTCCAATGAAATTATAGAACAAATTGACCCATTTAGACATGATGAGCTCGAAAGGATAGTCAGGAAACAAGACTTTCATTTTTCTATAGATACAAAATCTTTCAAATGAGCTTGATTTTGTATGAAATGATACTACCTGATAAAGAATAAGCCTGTTTGATAATTTTGAATACCA